CAAGTTTCACGTCCGAAGCTCATTTTAGCAAATTTGTGCCATTGAAATCGTCGAACATGGCACATTCTCCGTTAGCTTACGAGCACCCCGTTTGAGCGGTCGACTATTCATACGCAATTTAGCATCACATTGGATATGGGCTGAACTTGTGCTGGAATTGAATTTTTCCGATCATTTCCCTAGGAGGAGTTCGCAAAAACGCGCTTAAAACGCACATTTTCCAAAATGGCCGACTTTTTGGGGGGAGGGGCTAATGGAAGCCATTTTGAAATATGTCGACAATTCCATGAGGCATGTCTGCGCCAAGACCCGGGTCGCTGGGAGAAACTATATGTGACTACCGCACAATAGGGGGCGCTACTGAGCTGATTTCACAAAACGCACGATTTTATTGTACATTCTGGAAAAGGTCCTGGGCTGTGACGTCTGTCCCAAGTTTCACGTCCGAAGGTCATTTTAGCGAATTTGTGCTATTTAAATCGTCGAACATGCCACATTCTCCGTTAGCTTACGAGCACCCCGTGTGAGCGGTCGACAATGCGTTTCTGAATTTAGCATCACATTGGATATGGGCTGAACTTGTGCTGGAATTGAATTTTTCCGATCATTTCCCTAGGAGGAGTTCGCAAAAAAGCGCCTAAAACGCACATTTTCCAAAATGGCCGACTTTTTGGGGGGAGGGGCTAATGGAAGCCATTTTGAAATATGTCGGCAATTCCATGAGGCATGTCTGTGCCAAGACTCGGGTCGCTCAAAGAAAGTATATGTGACTACCGCACAATAGGGGGCGCTACTGAGCCGTATTTGCAAAAACGCACAATGTTTTTGGACAGTCTGGAGGAGGCCGTGGGCTGTGACGTGTGTTCCGAGTTTAAAGGCCGTAACTGTATTTTCCCGCTACTTATGGGTCGGTAAGTGTTTTTAACCCTTCGATTTCGACATAAAGCTGAATAGGTCACGCCCACTTCCATCATTGGTTGCGCCCCTTTAAATCTCAGTTCATACTCATCCTGCCAGTATGTGTATGACAAAATATATTTATTTCGTCTATCGGATCTTCAGGTATAAATTTGTTGTGCTTTTGGCGCCCCCTATTGTCCGAAATGAACATGCTTTTTTGTGCCTATTCCCCAAGACAGACTGAACCTTTCCACCGAAATCTGTGATATTTGGATACATTGCGGATGAATTAGGAGCATTTATGTCTAAGCCACACCTTTTTGCTAATACGTTGCGATTGATGTCGGGCACATTTTTCCACACGTCGTGCTCATGTTCTACGGTCGTGTGTGTGACCCTCCACTGATGCTGTACACTAAGTTTGGTGTTGAAAAGCAAAAAATTGAAATTGTAGTTAATATTTCACTGTTTTTCACATTATGCTAATTTAAAAAAAAAAAAAGTAGGCGGAGCTTAGGGATATGAGAGGATAATATGTAGGGCTGCTCCACCCGGATAAGTGTGCAAAATTTCAGGTCCATCCGAGTTACGCGGCGACTATGTACATTTTTCAAAAACTGAATTTTCACAGGTGGCGCTAGAGAGCATGTCGGAAATTTTGCAACCATGGAATCCAGAATGTAAAAATGTTCACCCGTCCTGGCGGCGTTGCCAAATGTCGCTACGTGAACAATGTGGGAACCCCCTCAAAAACAGCTTTAAACTGCAGACCATGGGGAAAAAGAATAATAATTCAACGAATAACAATAGGTCTTTGCACTTCGTGCTCAGGCCCTAATGAATGAATATTTTACCAAGTTATAAAGTTTTCCATACATAAACGTGTATCTTACAGTTCCTTTGTGAGAGAATTACGCACAAATTACAGTATTTTATCTGTTTTATGTGCTCTATATATATATATATATATATATATATAATTTGTTGCACTGTTGGAGGAGCCTGTGACCTATGTTTTTCATTGACATATCTACACTGTAGCTAATGGGCATATGCCATAAAGCCTTGAAACTTGAAACTTAAAATTATCAGAAACTGCATTGTCTCACTGAAAACAGGGGAGACAGTCTCACACATCCAGACTCCATTTTTCATGAAGAGCTTCCGACGGAGGGTCTGAACCCGGCACAGATACTGCGTCCGTTTCTTGACTGGAGCTCCCGACGGATGGCGGTAAGTTGTCACAGGCGTCTCGCTGATTAAACCCATATCGATGCGTCTCTTTGCCATTTTCGTTTTTGAAAGTTTAGGTGACTTGGTGAGTGGAAATGACTGGCTTTTTATCTAGTTTGCACGGAATTATTTTTCATCTAACTCCACCCTCCACCTCTATCTTCTGACATCACAGCAAAAGGAAGGGGGAAGGGGTGAGAGGAGGACGGGGTGCGAGACAGTCTCACACAACTTCAAAGAGACTACCTTAACACTAATTACAAACACTGATCAAAGGACATACATCAAAGGGCTAATTAGATTGACATCAAAGGCTTATAACACACCGGTACACACACACCTACATGTTATAACACCTCCCACCTTACATCAAAGGACAGACATCAAAGGGTCTAATTAGATTAGACAACAAGGGGTCAGACATCAAAGGCTAATTAGATTATACAACAAAGGATCTACTACAACAGGGAATATCACACCTACATGTCACAAACACCTCACCCCTCACATCAAAGGATAGACAACAAAGGGATCAGACATCAAAGGCTAATTAGATTACACAACAAAGGATCTACTACAATGGGGGAATATCACACCTACATGTGATAACACCTCGAACAAAGGGGCTCATTAACATATCAAAGGGGCTCATTAGCATAAGTAGTAGTACTGATGAGGCAGGTGTGACCTGTCACTTTTTATGCATACTAATGAGACGAAAGGGGCATTTGTAGTACTACTCACGTGTTTGTTTGTGAAAGAAATGACAATATTGTAGTGATCACTGATTCATACACTGGGGTTACATAATTCAATCCGGGAACTACAGGTTGGGGGTATTGTTTCCGCCCGGACATATATGTTGACGGTACCTCCGGGGTACCTACTGTGTGTCCTCCTCTTTCACTTTCTCTTCTCCTCTTTCCTGCAACCCGACAGCACGTCGATTTCTGCTCCCCAATAAAGAGAGATTTGCACCTTCGATGCACCGCCTCCGTCTCCCTTCTCTCGGCACTACATTGGTGACCCTGACATAAGTCTCGCGAAGGTTCCGAGACTGAACCGAACACGGCAAAACAACTCTTGTTTTTTCTCGAAATGCCGGGGATTTTTGGAGACCTCCGTAGCTGCCACGTGCGCACGGACTGAGGCTCGGTGCGCCCCACGGAATGGCTGGGAACGTCGCTCACCATTCCCGCTTCGTCTCGGCGCTGGAGGGCAGCAAGCCTTCCTGCTACGGGGAGACGATGCACGACCTGCTAGGTAGGGAGGGACCCGACTTCTGCCTCATGGAGCTGGTTCTTCGGGACATGCGGCTGCATGTCCAGGCTGCGCTAGCTGACTCGGCTAGTGTTGAGCCCCGTGCTTTGGTCGAAGATGCTGGCCGGTTCCTCCTGGCCGCCCCGCGATTTACCCCTGAGGTGCTTGCCACTGCACGCTGCAGCACCTTCCCTTGTGGGGGCACGCCGCCTAGCAGAGGCTCCGGGGACGACGACGACAGCGACTACCAACCGTCGAGAACGGCTAGCCTCGACTGCTAACGACAGCTAGCCATGACAGCTAGCCACGACAGCTAACGGCTAGCTGCTACCAACGGCTAACGATGTCTGCTAGCTATGGCTGACGGTGACTAGCAGCTACCAGCGGCTCTCGACATCCGACTGTTTTGTTTTTGTTTTTTGTGGTGCCGGAGAGGAGGTTCGATCACGTCTGGTCGGCCTCGCGTGGATCCTCTCGCTATTTCTGCCACCTGTTTTTGTTCGTGGACGGGACGACCCTTTGAGCTTTTTCTGGTGCCTGAGAGGAGGTTCGACCATGTCTGGTCGCCTCGTGTGGACCCTCTCGCTGTTTCACCACCTCGACGGCGGCTTCGGACGTCACACACGCCTGCTTCGGCCCGTGGGTGGCGCGCTTCTGGACCCCGTCTCGCCTCTTCCCTCGCCTCGGCGGTTTCGAACGTCGCCCATGCCTTCATCGGCCCGTGGGTGGCGCGCTTCGGGACCCTGCCTGGCCTCACCTCTAACCGCGGCTCACGGGCCTCGGCGGCGCCCCGTCTGGCCAATTCCCCTGTCCACGGCTCCTTCCTCCCGGGGACACGGCTCCTTCCTCCCGAGGACTTCGTGCCCACCGCCGCTGTGCCTTCGCCTGCGGCCGGGCAGCGCTCCTCCCTGCTGGGGACCACCAGGTTTTTCACGCCCGTCCCCTGGTCTCGACACAGCGACCCTGCTTTCTGCGGCCCCCTGACGACGGCCCGTTCCAGCCCGCCACCCGCCCTCCGGTGGGGATGCCCTCGCCTTCGTTGGGGCCCCTACCCTCTCCTGCGGCCCCCTTCCGACGGCCCGTTCCATGGCCCGCCCTCCTCGGCCCCTGTGGTGCTTCCTCCCGACGCGAGGATTGTGTCCATGGTTGAATTCTGGGGGGGCTTGTGTAGTGATCACTGATTCATACACTGGGGTTACATAATTCAATCCGGGAACTACAGGTTGGGGGTATTGTTTCCGCCCGGACATATATGTTGACGGTACCTCCGGGGTACCTACTGTGTGTCCTCCTCTTTCACTTTCTCTTCTCCTCTTTCCTGCAACCCGACAGCACGTCGATTTCTGCTCCCCAATAAAGAGAGATTTGCACCTTCGATGCACCGCCTCCGTCTCCCTTCTCTCGGCACTACAATATGCCCTTTCATAATCTCCAGTATTTACGCTAAGCTTAGTTTAGGGGCTGAGCTTTACCTTTGCCTTGTATGTCCAACTATAGATTTAATAAAAGGGATTATCCTTTTATTAAGAAAGTCATTGAGTACTGGTAATTTCAACTTTGAAAAACATAGACCAAACATACCATTAATTGAACTCTTGAAGTCTTACCTGAACAGGTAACCCCAGCATCTTCAGAGTGGCCGCAGTTATTTTGCCCCATTGGTCTGTGTGGGCACTTGAGGACAGATGTCTCATGACCAGTACACTGCACATCATCCAACCAGATCATGTTCTTTCCCTCTCCAAAAGAGGCGCCTTTAGTGGCCTCAAGAGCTGTCCCGCAGTTTAACTCTCGACATACCACGTCAGCGTTGGCGAGGCTCCATTGGTCATCACACACAGTTCCCCAACTGCCTGTGTGCAAGACCTCCAGTCTACCAGAGCAACGTGAAGGCCCGACCAGCTTAACCTCAATGCATTCTATAAATGAAAAATGAACACACAATAGCTCAAGGACATGTAAGCCTGATCTCAGTGACACATGGTCCTTTGTTGTTAGATCAGACTATAATTCAATTTGAGGCATGAGATCAATAGAATGTACTGACCTGCAAGCAGTGGTATACTCAACAGACCTAGAGCAGACACATGAGGTTTGTCATTAATATTTAAAACAATATTTTACAATAGCAGTGTTTGCTTTAATTCATCATATTTATTACGTATCAGGAAAGCTTGGCGATGTGCAGAAATACATAACTCCTTATTGTCCAACCTCAACTTTGTCAAATTGTTTTAAAGCAAGACAATGTGAACAATCAATAATAAGAGCTGTCTTTCTTAAGGGTTTGAGAGCATGAGACCAAGTTGTTTGACTATCACATGATTTAAGAATTCAAGAAAAGAATGGAAAAATTAAAAACGTACCAACTGACAAGTAAAAAGCGAAGTGTCGTTTTTCAGCTGAAATGAAGATCATTGTGTCTTCAAAGTAGATCAAAAGCTGCAAAAATACAGTCAAAATGGGGTATTGTTAAAAAGTTACGTTACTGTATTATCAGTCTTCAGTAGAACAAGAAAGTTGATTTTTGGAAGCCATCCAGTTCTTGTTGTTTTTTAACTAAACTCTTCAAATTAAATGATGTTGCCATCTAACCTTTTAAATCCAGCAGCTGCTTAAATGACCTCACAATTCAAAATAAAACGCTGATCATATCTGAAACATCCAAAAGACAGCAGCCTCGTGTACAGATCCAGTAATTGTTATGAATAAAAGGGGTTACATGGACTTGGACTGCAAACTGGAAGCATGTTGACATTTGGATCAATCATTAAAGACAGGGGATGAGCGGAGATTTCATTTTGTTTTACACAACACCTACATTACTTTCTAAAAAGACATTATATTCAACAGCATATATGAAAACTAATGCTGGTAAACAGTAGTAGATAGTATTAGTAAGATAGAGACTCTGATGTAGCGACACAACGAAGGTTGAGCTACCGAAAAATAAAAGGGAAATGTTGATTAAAAAGACAGTTGTTGTTTAACGAATGACAACATGTGAACACCGACTCCCACCTGTCCCTAGAATCTCATCGCCTTATCATTCCCAGCAGTCCTTTTATGTTGAATTTGTTAAAAAAACAGCCAATCGATTTCAATGTAGTATAAACAAGCTTAAATAAACAGGCCATTTTTGATTGGCCTGTTTTATTTTCTTCATCTCAGTTTAATATCTTATTCTGTTGCAGGAACTTAACAAAAAAAGGTATTTAAGGATATTAAAGCAATTATAGATAAAATCCGTGTGTTATAAACAGGAACTTGCTTTCCCCTGGAATACTGTTTTCAATGTTCAAGACAATCGTATTGTTGTCATGGATCGAAACTTAATATGGTCAGTCCTAATAATTAATATGTTACCTTTGTTACTTCAAAATGTGATCCAAGACCTGGATATTATAAACAGTAAAATAAGCGTTTTGTTTGTGTTGAGGTTAAACAAGGTGAGCAGATTTGCACACAACATGTCTGCCTGTATGGAGACACCCACTTATGTGATTCACGTTGTTGACATTCCAGCCTGCTTACGTCTATCATGAAACCACAAAAACACGAACTACCAGCAGTGGTGGAAAATAACTAAGTATATTGTCCCACTACTGAACCTAAGAGCTTGTAGAGGTACTTGTACTTGAATATTTCCAGTGTATTCTTTCTTTTTTTCTTCTTCTCCACCAAGTTTCAGGGGGGATTGTACTTTTTAGTCTATATTCTTTTTTGCATTGAAGGCCTTTTGAGTGGAACAGCATAGGTGTCAATGATAATTAATAATGATGCTGAATACATTCAGTTCCTCTTTTATTGTCCAGGTTATGCTGAGGAATTTGTTATAACAATTACTGATGATGATTGATAAAACATATTCATGTATTTGATAGTTCACATATCTTGGCAGTGTTTGGTAACAATTGGGCACATTTTCCCCCAGCAGGGTCAAATCATCAAAAACTCTGCCAAACAAAAAGGTGCAAGCGCGGTAAGAAATATATATTTATTGATCTGCATTCACATACACCAAATAAAGCAAATTACCATAGAATGCAAAGACAATGTAATCAGCCTACTCCTGCAGGTCAGTTGATCTAAGCTTTCTGATCAATAGAATCTCTCTGTCAAATGTAAGCCACAACAGGAATAAAGCAAAGAATGCAGCATATATTTGAGGAAGTGTGTAGATTAAAAAAATAAAATGTTGTGTAAAAACACACTTAAACCTGGTCTTCCTGAAAGAGCAACAGATCATCAGCTAGTCACCGATACACTGTGACACCATTGTTGGCTGTCGTTAAAGATGCAGCAGACTTATAAACTTTAACCACCCAAACATTTCACGTTTTGTGAAATTGCACGACATTCTTCATTACTTGATGCATTTAGTTATCAAGGAAAAACGAGTGGTTCTAGCTCATAGCACACTCTCCCAGCCAGATCTTCAGGCATCCTCTCCACAGAGTTATCAACATCAGCATTGTTTTCTTCCTGCCCGGGGCTGTGCGTCTGCTCATTGTCTTGGGTATTTCTGGCACTGAGGGGAATGAGGAGGAGGACAATTGCAATCAATTTAAAGTTGTTTGATCTAAAACAAAATATGTATATCTTTGCAAATAACATTATATTTACTACCTTTCATAGAGGGCTCCATTGCACCTGTCGTCGAGATCATCCTTTAATGCTCCTCCAAACCTGTTACTGAACTGAACCATAGTACCTGGAAAGTAAAAATGTTAAAGTGATACAAATACAAGGGATCCAGAGAAAACTAATTTTCTAAAAATGCTTTTACTGAATTGTTTGGCCATTTGGGGGCCAGTTTGACAAATTGGGGATGTCTTTTTTTTATGCATGGCTCTGCAATGTAACTGGTATAATTGTGTTTAACATGTTGACGATAGTGTTACAACAGTTCCACCAATTACTTTTTGGTTATGTATGTCATTATATGAAACAACCATGGTTAGACTGTTAGACTGTAAGTGTGGTTGTCTTTAGGTTTGGGGGTACTTTTTTTATCATAATTAAGGTGCTGCAACAATCCTTAGAGCCAAAGAGATCAGTCAAATTGATTATAATTTAACACAGTAGCCTAAAATGACGCTATGAGAGCAGTGAGAGTGGACAAAACATGTAAAGAGAGATGCAAAAACGTTATTTGCTGTGAAGGATTGAACCATCCAATTTTGTTATGTTTTGTGTGAAACTCACCAGCAACCCTCCTTCTCTTTCTCCACATCAGGTAACCTATAACCCCCACAAGTAACACTAACAGCAAACCCACAACCCATCCTGTGACCACTGAAGAGGATGAGGCCGCTGTAGGGGTCAAAAGATCATTTAGTTAGCAAAGGAGAAAACTAGCCATTTTAAGTCAAATCATTTCTCAAGGGCTCCTTGGGTCTTACCGACTACAGAGACTTGGAGTGACTTGGAGGGAACTGAAGAGAAGGACATTGAAGAAATGTTCACTCCGTAGATGCACCTATAATCCCCTTGGGTTTTATAATCTATTGCAGGAAAGTCAAAGGTTGTCATGTAGTGGATGGAGTAGCCAAATGCAGGCACCGCTTCAGTGGCATTGTTGTGGGACTTTGTCAGATAGAAGAAACCTCCAGTGTATATGGAATGAGTAGAGCAAGTGATGGAGAAGCTGTTCCCTTGGGTGACCGATATTTTGTCAGGGGTGAAGACCACCATTGCATGAGGAGACGACAGGGAGAGGGTGGGTTTTTCCAGTTTCACTGCAGATTAGAAAACCTTTTTTTAACAACTCATTTGGATCACAAAACCTGTTTGCAATCTTGCAGTCAAATTAACCCTTTTGCTAAAGCCTGCCACATCAGCTTAAGAAAAGCTTAGTTTTAAAAACAAAATAAGCAATTTCAGAGAGAAACAGATCTACAATATGCATTTGAAAGATTTATCGGAGTTCATTTCGCATTTGTTGCTCATTTACTTAACGCTTTGCTCTGCTAATTTCAAAGATAGCACCACAGGTTTTTACATAGAAACACAGGCTAAACATTTTTAAACGTATATTATCTCTCTCTGGGTATCGAGCAATCTCTATTTCAGACACTCCAAGCACTACTGTTAACCATAACTACGAACAGACTGAAACTGATCTAAACAATGGCATGACAGTCAATATAGCATATATAGTTTAATAGCCAAATAGTTATCAAACAGAATTATTGACCTATGATGGAGAGCTCTGCCGTTTCTCCTTGAGGAAAATAGATGACTTGATTGGGCAATTTCTTTTGATATTCACAGAAATATGACCCCTTCTGGTTGAAATCTACTGAATGGAAGATAAAGGTTGCAGCTTCATTCTCCGTGTATCTTTCCATTTTAAAGGAGTCTTGGGTCCTCTTCAGGACGAATGTCCCGCCCAACTGTTCTGCTAGTATAGTGCATGTGATCTCAACTTTGGTACCCCAGTTTACCTCTGGAGCGGGAATCAAAGTGATTATGGGCTTGTGTAGAGCACCTGAAAAAGACAATAAGCGTCATTAGAGCGTGATGTAATACCAGTTAGAAGGTAATGATTTCATTCACAAATTAGAAAAGGAGCCAGGCCTCTCACCTATACAGATAACACTAGCATCTTCTCCGTGCCCGCAGTTATTTTCTCCAAAACCATTGTGCGGACAATGTGTGATTGCATTCTCTTCGCCTGCACACTCCACATTATCCAGCCATATTGGACCAGTGCCTCTACCAAAGTGGGCACTTGAAGGAGCAGAAACTGCATGTCCGCAGCTAAGCTGTCTACATACCACATCACCATTGCCAAGTGACCATTCATCATCACACACAGTCCCCCACTGGCCTTTGTAGAGAATCTCCAATCTACCGGAGCATTGACCTGTGCCGCCGACCAACCGAATCTGTGCTGCATTTAAAAATGTAATTTAGGTGAGTTCAACAGCAAGCGACAGTCCTTAAGTCATGTTTCAACAAACAATTCTAAAAAACATTAATACATATTGTAAAACAAAAAGTGAATATGTTTGTATTTTAAAAATATTGTTTGTCCCATCATTATATGAGAAGCTAATTTTGACAGTGACGAGGGAAAAGGTTGACTTACGGTAACCTACTGTAATTATGTGTAACTTTTGTCACGTACGTGAAAAATGTAAGCAATACATATTGGGCAATATTCTGATATGCTTTCGTGCTTAGCGTCAGTAAGTATAAACATTACTAGAGCCATTGGCAAGTTAGCATAGCTTAGCATAAAAACAGGAAACCAGAAAGCGTGTCTTTGTCTAAAAAAGTAAATTAAAAAACTCTGGCAACCATTACCTATAACACTAAATAAATAATTAACCATTAACATATATCTGAATTAATTTAAGGAAGCTTGTTTTTTTCATTCCTAATTCAAAGCTGAGCTAAGCGGCTGCCATCCTCAGTTTCCTATTTAACTTAGTGTCTGGTGAGAGTGTCAATCTTCTCATCTAACTCTTGACAATAAAGCTGATTAGTGTATTTCCAAAAAGTTGATCTATTGCTTTAAGGAATGATTACACATCCTTTATTATTGTTATTATATTTGTTACCCAAAAGCATGTGAGAATGTTCAACACGTAATTTTAAAGGCCATACCTGCACAGACAGTGCCAGCGTCATGTCCGTGCCCACAGCTTGCTCCTCTGTAACCTTTGGCCGAGCATTGCCGAAGAGATGTCACATTGTCAAAA